AAGCAAAAGTTACGCAAGCAAAAAAGAAGCTGTGAGCAAGTTTGGGTGTACATTAAATACCCAAGCAGAAGTTACACAGAAAAACAATAAAGCTGTGAGCAAATTTGGATGTACACAAAAATCCAAGCAAAAGTTGCATAAGAAAAAGACCGTGAGCAAACTTGGGTGTACATAAATACCCAAATAAAAGCCACGCAAGATGCACCACAAAGGTTAAGACAAATCTCAGAAAATAAGGAAACATATTTTCCATAGTCTTGATAAAAAGAACAAAGCAAGGCAAAATGAAAAACCACAAGTCCACAAAACAAAAGGTATAATATCCACAGCTCTCGGGCTCGCTACACAGGCGGAGGAGAAGAGGCACCCTGTGAAACCTCTGCATCAACAGAGCTACCCCTGCTACACACAGCTGTGGCAGAGTCTCCCACATCCCAGGAGCTACCAGTACCTTCAGATACCTGCCTAGGAGAATCATCTAGAAAAACAACACTAGGACCCCGATCATAAGTTCTCTTCAAATCCGGATCAGCATGAATCAAGGCAGCAATGTCCATATCCTCAAACTCAGCAAGACGGTCAGACACAATCAGGCCACGACGAGGAAGCAACATCTTGATAAGCTTGACAGCAAGGTTAAAATAACCCAAACTGCCAGAAAGAGCGAAGGCTTTACCTTCTGGAGACTCCTTAAAAGACTGAACAATGGAAGAAGGAGAAGCTTGTAGAGAGGAAACCTGCACCTTCAGATCCGAAACGGACCTCTCCAAAGCAGAATTCGCAGAAGAAAGATCACCCAACTGCCGTTGCAAAGCCAAAACAGAGGACTCCAAAGACGCTTTTTCAGCAGCAGCAGAAGAAGAGAAAAGTTCTTTCTCTTTCTTCAACAAATCGTAACACTCTTGGAGCATAGTTAGCTCTTTCTTCAACCTCTCAACCTCGATTGAATTAGCTCCCAATGCTGTTTTCTCAGAATGAAGCTGGCGGCACAAGTTCAGTAGATCTTTGCTCCTCTCCTGCATCTCAGATAAATCAGCAGCAGCACGGTAAAAGGAATCTTCCTTGTCTAGGAGAATTTCCTTCATATGCTGTAGTACAGCACAAACCAAACACAAGAGCAAAGAAAGACATTAAAAATAAAACAGCTACAAGAACAATGAATCAACCACAGGAAAAACACATACACTAGCAGAATGATGAACGGCCATATCATGAAGAGCCTCCAAAGGAAAATTTGAAAGTAATTTTTTGTCACCAGCCAACAACATGGATTTAGAAGATTCATGGGCAATAGAACTATGCCTAATTATGGAAGGACCCTCAAGGCCGATATCATAACCTGCACAAGAAGGAAGAAAACAATAAGCCAATAGGAAAAAATTATTAGCATGAAGACAATGAGGAAAAGACATACCAGGGTGGACGACATCTTTCAAGGGCAACCTCGTCAAAGGCTTAGAGAAGCTTTTCCCAGCAATAAAGTCCATAAAAGAAGAAATCAAGAATCTCCCCTCCGAAGAGAACTGCTACAACTCATCATCAGGAAAAACAAAGGAAGCAGGAACCTCTTTATCAACCTCAATAACACAAGCCTCTACCACACCCTTGTCAGAACCACCTGCGGAAGCTACTTTAAAAGAAGCACTTTTCAATCTCTTAGACCTCCTCACAACCAAAGGCGCCCCTTGAGGAACGATTCCCTTCGACTTGCCAGCAGCCTTCTCAACTTTCTCAGCTAATAATTTCTCGGTCTTCACAGCTCTATCAACCTTCTCAAGCTTCTCAATCTTGGCAGAACGACTCAAAACAGCCAAGGTATTTATGCCACCTAAAACATACAAAAGAGATATAACCAGAAGGGAAAAAACAAGAAAATGTCAAGAAAAGCCAAGCAGAAAGAAGAAGATACCAGCAGAACCAAGAAAAGGACTATGAATGGCAGCCAGACTCCCTTCACCAATCTTCCGTTTTAAGGATCGTTCAAGCCTCGGAGAAGCCTCAAAACCGGAAGGAACAAAAGGAACGGGAAAATCAGAGTAGGAGTCACAAGAACCGGGAACCCAGACACCCGCCTCAATCAAATTCTCACGAACAATCAACTCTGCAATGCTCACAGACGGTTCGGTAACAAACTTATGAACAGCCTTATAATCGTCTACCGAAAGCAGAACTTCAGCAATAGTAGTACGAGGGACCCGCCAGAGAGAAGGAAAATCAACATCCTCAGGGGCACTCAGAAAGAAAAACCTTTTATGCCAATTATTGGAATCATAACCAGGCAAGGGGTCCACAAAAACAGTGTTACCCCGGCGACGTTTTTTATCATCCACACCTTGAAACTCTAGCACTCTACGAGAAAAATAATACCAACTACCAGTGGGCTCAGCAGTTTTTAAGTGAAAAAAGAAACAAAAAAGCTCACGAGTAGGTGTAATCCTGAGAAGGAAACACCTCACAATAAAAGCAACTATATAAGCAATAGCACGAGGAGCCAATTGGGGAAGACTAATGGAGAATTCATCACAAATCTCAAGGAAAAAAGGATGCAAAGGAAAACGCAACCCACATGCAAACTGATCCTTGTACACACACATATCAGGAGGAAGGCATTGAAATGCCGCACGACCCGCCAGATGTTGAGGAAGAAAAACCTGCGGATCTATCAAATTCTTCCTATAAACCTCCCAAATCTCATCCACATCACAACTACTGGTAACCCAAGACACTTTGTCAAGATCACAAAACACCTTCATCGAGCCTAGAGGAAGAACAACTTTCCCACCCTTTGAAGAAGAAACTAAAGGAACCTCGGTAGGAAGAGAAGGAACCACGGGATCCCTCTCTACATGGCGTAAAGTGCCCTTCACAACAAACTTCCCATCTGCATTAAGGGGAAGGCAGAAAATGTCAAAGAACCCCGGCTCAGAGGAAGAGGGAAGGACACCCACGTCATCAACGGAAGGGCCACCAGAGACAGAGACCGGAACAGAACCGGAAGCAGAGGATGGAACAAAACTGGAAGCAGAGAGCGGAGTAGAGCCGGAAGCAGCAACCGAAACAGAACCAGAAGCTGAAGCCGTAACCAGATCGGAGCCAGAAACCGTGACCGGAACAGAACCAGAAGTGACGACCGAAACGGAGCCAGAAGCAGAAGCAGGAATAGAACCGGAAACAGAGGGGTTAACAGCCATCACAAGACAACCGGCCAGGATCAAACCACAAAGATCAAAGAAATTTCCCTCAAAACAGAAGAAAACAAAGAAGAAAAGGAAGAATCAGGAAAAAGTAAAAAGAAGACAAAAAGAAATCAAGAGGAGTCAAACAAAAAGGAGAAGAAGAATCGGGAAACTCAAAGAAAACCCCATCTAGCCAAAAGGATAAATTGCATAAAATCCCAAGAAAATAGGGGTTTGAATCAAAAGGACCAGCCGTACCAAAAGGCCATACATTGGGGGCCACGTACAAAAATCGCTGCCAAAAAGTAGAAAAATCCGGGAAATGCAGCCGTGAAAATATGGAAAAATCAAGAAAGGACCTGAACAAGTCAGCACAAATCTGCAGAATAATTAACTTCAATAAAAATTGTTAAAGGAAACTGCGCCAGGAATCACAAAGGAAAAACCTATGCTGCACTCTTTTTTCCTTAAACCAGATTTTTATCCCACAGGGTTTTTTCTAGTTAAGGTTTTTAACGAGGCAGTCATGGTTAAAAAATGGGAACCTGTGCAGAGTTTGAAGCCAAGATCAACGGAGCAAAAAGTCAGACATTTGTTGAAGTTTTCACTATCCTCAAACTTCTTCGTTGGGGGGCAAATGTTATACCCTAAAAACAAGTCCTATGATAATTAGGACACGTGGAGATAATCTAGAGATAATCCTATCAAAGTAAGGACAAGATAAATCCTGACAGGATAAGAATACCCAAACACCAATTGAATAAAGTTGCATTCCTAGAATAACTGTAATTAGGAACCCTTTAAATACCCCTTGGATCAACCCAAGGAGGTAGATTATTTTCCATCATTATTCTCTCTACATTATAAACTCTCTCTATCAATAAAGATCTTGGTTCCACACCATCTACTCTATTTTTACAGTTAACAGTCATCATGTGCTAAGTGTGTTTCTTTATAAAGACTGTTTTGAAATTCCTTCTATATACTTCCGACCATGGTGATCCCATGAAGAATTCCAATGTGTGGAAGATTTTATAAATTCAGATAAGGAGGAATAAAAAGGGAGCAATCCTATAAAAGAAAATATTGCGCTTGTTCATTGTCCTCCCATCTCAAAGACTAAAGGATGCCCAAAGCAGAAGAGGATGAAAGGAGCAAAGGAGTTGGCAAAACAAGTGAAAACTTGTAGCTTGTGCAAATGTCCTTGCCATAACATTAGTTCATGTCCAGAGAATGAGAATAAAGATGTTCTGAATGGTGCTTATAAGCGGACAATGGTTGCTTCAAGGAAGGTGGTTTGAATCTTGTTTTTGCTTTGAAATATTAGAAGGGAACATTAATTTTAGCTACTTTTTGTCTTGAGCACAATTTTAAGGAAAGTAAATCTATGTCAATGCTGATTTACTTGTGTTTTAACTAGAGTGCACCAAATTTTTTTGTTTTGTTGTGATTTTAATTGAATTTATTCTGCATTATGACTTAGAGATAAAATTACGTTAATCTTATTAGTTTTTATTATAGATTTTTATTTTGTTTGTAGGAATAGGGTAATCCTATTATTTTTTTATCATATGTTGGTCTTAAAAGTGATTTTATAATAGGTTAATATTTTATTTTTTATTTTTAATGTTAAATTTTATAGATTGTCAATTTTTTGAAAAATAATTGTAAATATCTTAATGCAGAAAATGGAAATCAATTTAGTAAAATAATTTACCAAAAGGACTATCTCCTATTGGGATCTCTTACCATGACAGATGGTTTTCAATTGGATTAGATTGGGGAGTAGGACAGAGAAAAAATTTAGCGAGCTCAAGACTCAAGAGAGGAGAATGGAAGAGGGAGACGGCAAGGCTGAAAAAAAAAAAAGGAATTTGCAGTAAAAATAAATAAATGAGTATTAGATACCATTATAAGTACTTATTATCTTGTGTACTTAAAGTATAAGATAAAAAATCTCATTATAATAATTAGAAATGCTTCGATAAACAGTATTGCTTCATTTCCCGCATCCTCAAGAGTAGGGCTAGACACGATTTGGTTTGGTTTTAATCAAAATTAATATTTAAATAAAAAATGTTACTTTTGTTCGTTTTTGTTATATTTTATTTGGAATTTTTTAATTTTGTATCTTAAAATATAGGATAAAAATATATTTATAGTATTTATTAATTATTAATATATATGATAAAATTAAAATTTAAAATTA